TTCCGGCGGCAGGGTTGCAGGAGAGAACAGCGAGCCAGCACCTCCTGCTGCTGTGAGGCCCTGGGGTCGAGGGGCCAGAGGAGGCCCGAAGAAATGGGAAGCCAGGGCTGAGGCAGTGGTTTTAGCAGCTGCAAATGGAGGGGAGGAACCAATGGGACTTTGTCCCAAACCCTAGAGAGTCCTGTTTCCCGGTCCCAGCGTCTTCTGCCCTCTCAGCTCGGGCCCCAGGACCTGCCTCCTGGACCCCTCCCTTCAACCTGGGAAATATTGTTAAATGAGTCTGTAGTCCCTGTTGCCACTACTCTTCCTCGTGTGCTTTGGTATTAGCTCCGGGCATCTCTTAGGCGGACTCCCACCGCCTGCTCTTGGCCAGGAGGGATGTCGGCACAGTCAGCCGTGCCCAGCCCTAGGAGGCCCTGCTTTCCCTCCCCTGCCTCTTGCCCCAGGCCTGCCTGCCCTCATCCTCTGGGTCCTGCCTTGCCCTGTCTGGGCCAAGCACCTCCCCGCTGACCCTCACGGGCTTTCTGCTACACACCCAGGGCCAGCGTGAACCCAGTTGTGACTTCAAAGCCCACCCCCAGGGTGCCTTGGCCTTCCCCGCTCTGCTCCCCTTCTCTGTCCTCCCTTATCTCCCACCCCTACTGAGGGAGTCAGAGAAATAGGGGCGGCATAAGTGGGAAGGTCATGTGCTTGGTGCGGGTGCCTCTCCACAGCTTCCCTGATCGGTGGCCACCCAGTCTCTGCTTCAGTATTTCCACTGACTGGGAGCTCATTCCCTCTTGAGTCAACTCTTTCCATGACGGGACAGTTTGGCTGCAAGAAGCTTCTACCTCCTATTAAGTGGAAAACTATTTTACCGGGACTCCTACCTGTTGGCCCTCTTCTGCCCTCTGGGGCCACACTGAATAAGTTTAATTCATCTTGCACAGCTTCGTGGAGAAGCATGATTGTGAAACCAGACGATCAAGGTTCAAACCCTGGCTCTGCCATTTACTTGCCATGTGGCTCTTGGACACATTTCTTTACCTTTTCTGGCCTCTATTTCCTCAGCAGCAAAATGGAGGTGACAATGGCACCTACCCCATCGAGTTGTATAAAGATTAGTTAGTAGATAGCAAGCGCTTAGAATATCACCTGACACATAATAAGTGCTCAGTAAATCACAGTCTGTGAAGAAAGCCGTTTCGTCTCCTCCCTTCCACTTCTTCCCTTGGGTTAACATCCTTTTAAAAGTATTCTCCGTACAGCATGGCTCCCACATCCTTGCAGGCCTTGTTGACCTGGCTCTTTGGTTGGCTTAAGCCCTCTTACAATGTTATCTCCCATGGGAAGTGGAGCCTCCACTTTTCATGACCTTCTGTTAGTGTGGTAAAGACTCATTAACTTTGCCACCAGTTGGCTCGCAAGGTCAGCGAAAGTCCCAAGATCCTTTTCACTTGATCCTCGAGGGCTTGAGCCTCACAGTACTCTACACCTTGGCTTCAACTTCGCCAAGTCCTCCAAGCCCCTCTGTGCACTCTAGACCTTGCTGGCACGTGCTTTGCATCTTCTCAGTGCGGCACCCAAGGTCTAGAGGGCCCTTCTCTCCCATCCCCAGCTCATCACTTTGTCTGTCTCATTCAGTCTCAGAGCAAATCCTAGTAAGCTTCCTCCTCCATGAAGCCCTCCAGGTTAATCACACTGTGGCAGCTGATTTCTCTGGAATTGTTCCATCCCTGTGGTGAATCCTGGCCTATCTTCTTATCACCTCTGATGCACTGGCCCTTAGTCTAGGCAAGTGTTACACCTCTTGGTTCTGAGGTCTCGTCCTTATTCTGCCTGTTCCCTCTGCACGTTTGTGGCTCAGAAGGCAGTGGTCTCGTCTGCACTGTTCTCTGCCTGGAGAGCAGAGGGCAGGTATGAGCAAGTATGTGACACACCACAGAACAACACCTCGTGGTCCTGCCACTTCTAGGCAGTCCCTGCTTCCTCTAATCATCCCCACTCGGGGACATCCTGTCCTATGTGCTGCCATGGACGGAGACCACACAGTCTGAAAGACACCTGGTTAGGCAGGGAAGAAGTGAGTGGTCCTGACACACCCTGCTTCCCTCCCCTCTCCAAACTCTTGGCTAGTGGTTTTTTTGTTTTTTTTTTTCCTTCCTGTGTTGAAAGAGCTATGCGGCCTGGACCATGGCAGGGTTTCCTGGGGACATTCCATAAATTCCTCATGGGCCCGTTTCTCTGGGTAAATGGGAGGCCAGTGGGAGCCTGGCTTTAGTATCAGGTGCCTCAAAGGCGTGTGGGTGGAAAGGAAGGGTGAGTCGCCCAGAGGAGATGGAGTGGTATCATGAGCTCACAGAAACAACTAAAGAACATCAAAGTGAAGAGAGAAGGAACAGACAACTGCAGGTCGGAACAAGCTGTGGGCAGCCATGCCCCAGCCTCGCCCTTGAACCCTCTGACTTGCCTCCCTAGCAACTTGTCTGCTGGGGTTCCAACAGGCCTAAGAGAACTTGGCTACCTTGAGTGTGTGGCTTGAAAAGAGAGATATGGGAAGGTCAGCCCAGGGCCCTTTGAGCCTGGCTGGGTGGTTCTTCCTTTATTCAGTCCTCGTCCACCCATTTGGCAAACATTAATTCCCTAACTCAGATCCAGGGCTGAAGAGAATGGAGGCCCTAGCCCCTGGCTGAACACTGCAGCAAGCCTGAACCCGAAGGCTGTTCTCAGCCACCACCCCTGGGGTTCCGTGGCTGCTTCTTTAGGTAAAACAGGTGTCAACTCGGATGTCAGGACAAGAGGCAACTTGTCTTCATCTCTAAGCTTGGACGAGTCACTTTTCTTCTCTGGGCCTCAATTTTCCTGCCAAATACCACTAGTATTGGGCTAGATGGTCTCTAAGGTTCCTTAGAGAATGGTTTTATTTTTCGAGACAGTTTTGAGGCCCATCCCAGGTGGGAACACTTGGTGAAAGGATGAGGCAGAAAGAAGGAAATAAATATGAACAAGGCATGACCCCTGCCTTTAACAGAACTTTCAAGAGAATAAAGGAGACAGAATCACAGGAATGATCCAGAACAGTGACGGAAGGTGCAGGAAGGATAGGAGAAAATGCTGAGCACTAGATTAGTTGTGGCTCCTGCTGGCCTTCCAGAGCCTTTGTGCAATTGAGAAACAGGTGGTATTTATGGGCAGATGAGTCAGCTCCAGGAGCTCCTCTGGGGGTATGTTTATACCCTAGGGTGTATGGCTTGACAAGGAGAGTTCAGATTGGATTTCAATTCCCATAGGCACCTCGGCCCAAAGTCCCTGGGTAAGTCACAATCTACCCAGCTGTATAGATAACCCTGCAGGAAAGTAGCCAGCCTCAGGGGTCCAAGTTGAACCCTTTCTTGATAGAATATACCACTTTTTTTTTTTTTTGCGGTACGTCAGCCTCACCGCTGTGGCCTCTTCCGGACGTGCAGGCCCAGCGGCCATGGCTCACGGGCCCAGCCGCTCTGCGGCATGTGGGATCTTCCCGGACCGGGGCAAGAACCCGCGTCCCCTGCATCGGCAGGCGGACTCTCAACCAGTGCGCCACCAGGGAAGCCCCAGAATATAACACTTTTTAAAAATCGAAGTAGACTCGATTTACAATGTTGCGTCAGTTTCAGGTATACAGCAAAGTAATTCAGTTTTAAATACATATATGTATATATCCTATTCCAGACTCTTTTCTAGAGTACACCACTTTTAAATCTTAGTGGAATCTCAGAAGGCCAACTCCTTCCCTCTCCACTTCTGGGAAAGCAAACGCCGGGACCACACTCATCCTCACTCTCCCGTACCTGAAACCAAGCCAGGGCCCACAGTCCCAGGCCAAGTGGAGGGCACAGGACAGGTACAGGTGGGCACCTCTCCACAGAGTGAGGAAAGGGTTAAAGGGCTTTGGCATCATGAGAAAGAAGGCGTCTCCACATCAACCCAGACCAGTTTTTCTCACCTCCTTTGGCAGCAACTCAGAACAAGCAGAACACGGAAATTCTTCCTCAGGCTCCCTCCCTGCCACTCTCCCTCTACATTCCCAAACAACATCTCTCCTGAGGCTCTAACTGGATTAGGAGGAAAGAGCCACAGGGCTGATGTCAACATCAAAGGGTGAGATGCGGTGAGGTCTGGCCTGTGTCTTGATCCACAGGTGCTGGGACTGGGGAAAGGTGGCAGGAGGGTGAGCTTGGGAAAAAGGGATTAGCAGGGACTGGAAAGAACATGGCTGCTGTAATCCCACATAATAAACCAGACTGTGCTCCGTCTCTACACCTTAAGCGCTAGACGAGCAGGTACATGCTTCCGGCTTCAGCCCGCCGCGCAGGAGGCTTCCCGTGCTGCCAGTCCCAGATGGCCCGTGCCCTCCCATGGGCAGAGGTGCTCAGAGCAGGCACAGGATAAGATGCCTACTTCCTCTTGTCAGCTCAGGACTTGGGGGTGAGGGAGGAGGGGTGGGGAAGAGATTGCGATTGCAGGAAGAGGAAAGATAGGAGAACAGCCCCTTATCCAGGCACCATATACCATCCCAGAGAGGCACCACCATCGGCTGAGAAGTGAGACCCATAATGTGCTTCAAGCAGCTGCTCTGGACTCAACGAAGACTTTTGATCAGTACAATCACCTCTATAGACTGTGGGGAGGGATTTGTGATGTGGGTGATTCCTAATATAGATAATCAAAAAGCAGTTCTACTTGATTTGGAGATTTTTTTTTTCTCCTCTAGATGGATGCACTTTCCTAATTCCTTGGAGTTTGGTCAATATTGAAATACGTTTACATCACCAAGACACTCACTGACCAGTAGGTAGAGGAAAGCAGCTAGAAGATGAGGCACAAATTAACCCCTAGCAACCCTCCCCACTCTAGCTGTTCCTGCCCCAAGAAAACTGAGCTGCCTTCTAGCTAAGTCTCCATCAACAGCAAACTTCCAGAAGAGGCTCTCAGCCGAGGAGCTGAACAGCATCGGGGCGTCCAGGCTCACGGACTCTTACCTTTTTCAGCTTGCCGCTCTTTGTGCCCACAAACACCACGCTGTAGCCATTGTAAACATAGGACGCCACCGAGGTCATGCGGTCCCGGCTGGTGGTGTACAGGGTCAGGCCCTCCACTGGAATTGAGCCTCCAAGTGGCTGGTTGATGTCCAGTCCACAGAAGTTGTCATCGATGGGCACCGGCTGGAGAGAAGGGGAGGGACCCGGGGTGAGTAGCAGCGGAGGCAGGGCCGAGTTGATCCACACCAGCCCACCCACCGTGGCCACCAGCCCCAGGACACCAGGCCTCAGAGAAATTCAGGCATGGAGTTCAGGGGCCTAACACATACTGCACACACAAACATCTCACGGCTGACCCATGAACCCCGCACTGACTCCTGTGAAACCAGACAGCTTTCTTCTCCCTCACCTGCTATCACCCACTCACTTTTCTGCCAAGACAACCAGCGACAGTTTGCAAAGCTGACTGCTCAAACTCATTTCCTGGTCATTTACATGTCCCTGTGGACCATGCCATTTGTGGCGGTCTTTCTATTTAGACAGTGGAGATTCAGTCTAGAGGCAACATCACAGGATTCCTACCAGCCTGGTGGCGTTCCTTATTTGTTTCCTGGACTGCAAAGGCCTGCCTTTGGGCATAAGGAATTTTCAGTCATTCCATTATTCACCACATCCCATACTGGGGATAGATTAAAAAGGGTTATCTCAATATTGAACAGTGCCTTATACTTTGGAAAACTTACTCCATCTACATGAATCTCAGTTTCTTCAGGTGTCACACTACCTGCCCACCTTTGTGAGAGAATCACTGGGGAGAAAAGGAAATGACGCGAGCGAAGAGATTCGTTTAGTTGTACAACGATTCTCATCACTGTCCGTTAGAGGTCTTCAGTGATGTTTGCGTAGATTCTGGGGGAGATGGCCTTCTTGTTAGCAGCCTTTTTCAGGGAGTGGGGGTATGCTTGTATCTGTCATTGAATAAAAAAATTAAAAAAAAATTAAGGTCTCTTCTCTCTCAGAAGAGACTAGGGCACCTTGAAAGGACATTGCACCTTGCACCTTGAGCAAGTGGCAAAATAGCTGGACAGAAAGAATCCCAGTCTCTGCTCTTCCTCTATGTGAACTCTGATCAGTAACAGCCTCTTTGGGGACTGTTAAAGTGATGATTTCTAAGATCTCATTCAGTTAAAAAAAAAAAAGACTGCATGCTTCCTGAGGACAGGGGCTGCGGAGGGGGCTGCATTCTCTGCACACTGTCTAGTCTGGGGCTGGGCTATGACAGATCCTCCGAAACATCCCAGTTGATTGCACAACAGGGAATCCTGTGGGCAAAGGTTGCAGACTCTGGGCCAGAAAGAGCCCTGAGCCCTGTGGCAGCTGTTCCTCCTGGGTCTGGAAAGGCATCCTCGAGGAGGAAGGAAGTGACGGTTGTGGGAAGCACAGAAAGCATCACGGAGAGACCTGTTCCCATCA